ATTTTTATTTTTATTTTTTTTTTGAGATAGAGTCTCCCTCTGTCGCCCAGGCTGGAGTGCATTGGCGCGATCTTGGCCCACTGCAACCTCTGCCTCCCAGGTTCAAGTGATTCTCCTGCCTCAGTCTCCCAAGTAGCTAGGACTACAGGTGTGCACCACCATGCCCAGCTAATTTTTGTATTTTTAGTAGAGACGGGGTTTCACCACGTTGGCCAGGATGGTTTCGATCTCTTGACCTCGTGATCCATCTGCCTCAGCCTCCCCAAGTGTTGTGGTTACAGGTGTGAGCCACCGCGCCCGGCCATCTGTCTCTGTTTTTATAATCTATAGTAATTTTCAAACATAAATGTGGAGAGAATATTCTAGTGAATCCTATGTGCCATTTTGCCAACTTTTCTTCATCTGTTCTCTCCCAAATTTTTCTTCGTTGCTGTATTATTTTAAAGCAAATCCCAGATATCATGTCATTTCAACTCTAAATACTTAGGATTACATCTCTTAACTCATGAGGACATTCAGTTTTCAAGGTAACCACTGGACCATTTTCATGGCTAATGAAGTTAACAATGATATCTTGTGGTTTTTGTTCTTTTTTTTTTTTTTTTGAGACGGAGTCTTACTCTGTTGCCCAGGCTGGAGTGCAATGGTGAGATCTCACTTCAGTGCAACCTCCACCTCCTGGAGGTGGAGTGCACTAAGTTTTGTATTTTTAGTAGAGTTGGGGTTTCACCATGTTGGCCAGGCTGGTCTTGAACTCCTGACCTCAGGTGATCTGCCTACCTTGGCCTTTCAAAGGGCTAGGATTACAGGCATGAGCCACTGCACCCAGCCAACAATGATATCTTAATACCATCCAACACTGAGTTCATAATCAGATTTTCCCAGTTATCTTGAAACTCTCTGTTCTTGTCCCTCTCTTGCCTCTCTCTCTTTGCCTCCTTCTGTACCTGGTACCTTTGATTCCCTGTCTCTGCTCTGTCCCCTGATAACCTGTCTATGATTCTCTTGGATTTGGGGGCTCTAGGCTCACCCCGCTCTCTTCCCACATTCTTCTCCAGCATGGGGATTTAGTGGGTGGAGAGAAGTATGTCTGTGAGCAAGAGGAGACCCCTTTCCTCAAGGAGATCCCGGGCTGGTGGAGCAGTAGAGCAGAGCAGGGCCTGCCTTAGTGGGAAGGCTGGAGGGTGGGGATGACTTGTTTGTATACTCTTGTCAGGGGGTCCTTGGAGGAGGCAGGGCCTTGGGTGCTAGGTGGGCCCCTACATCCTTCTGCTTCCCCTGCCTTTTCTCCCAAGGAGGACACACGGGCTCAGCGGCAGCGGCTGCAGAAGCAACTGACTGAGCATCTGCGCCAAAGCTGGGGCCTGCTTGGGGCCCCCATACAAGCCCGAGACCTGGGAGAGCTGCTGCAGGCCTGGGGTGCTGGGGCCAAGACTGGTGCTCCTAAGGGCTCCCGCTTCACGCACTCAGAGAAGTTCACCTTCCATCTGGTGGGTGCACCTGAGGACATGGGATGTGTGGCTGGATGTGGCAGGCTTGGAGGGTGGCTTTTTGTGTCAGCGCCACACCTTTATCCACACACAGGTTCTTGTGTTCCCACTGGACAGGCCCTTGCCCACTGGGGGTGGGTACCCAGAGGTCCCCTAGCTTCTTAGGGACTTGACTGGAGAAAATGTGAATAGGTGGGAACCATGCAAGGGTGTGGGGGTGTTCTTGGGGCAACACCCCCTTTCCTCAGGCAGTTTCCTTTGAGCATATCTTCTGTCCTAAGATGTTCACTCTGAGGGCCCCCCCATCCTTCTCATGGGCATTTGAGGCTTGAGAGATGTGCAGGTGGGTAGGAGCTGTGTCAGGGTCAGGGAGCTTTCTCCATGAGCAAGCACTCTGGCCTGAGGTTGCAGATGGTGCCTTTACCCACATAGTCACAGTCTAGCCGCCATCAGTGCTTGAGTGGGCACGCATGCTGCACTGGAGGCAGTTCTCAGGGGAGGCTGAGGCTGGGCCACGTGAGGAAGGGCCTTCCCCGACAACCAGGATGCCCCCGTCACTCCCCTAGGAGCCCCAGACCCAGGCCACTCAGGTGTCAGATGTGCCGGCCACCTCCCGGCGGCCTGAACAGGTGAGCAGAGTGGGTTGGAGGGGGGGTGTCCCAGGCCCTTGCCTGTCTACTGGGCCTGACACCCCAACCCTGACTGGCCTGGGCCTCCCAGGACACATGGGCAGCTCAGGAACAGGAGCTCGAGTCCCTTCGGGAGCAGCTGGAAGGAGTGAACCGCAGCATTGAGGAGGTTGAGGCCGACATGAAAACCCTGGGTGTCAGCTTTGTGCAGGTGAGGGGAGGGGGAGGGGCTGCACGTTGGGCTAGGTCAGAAGGAGGGCCTCAGGGTGTGAGGGACTAGACGGGACAAGAGGTGCTCTGTAGAGGTCTGCACATGGCAGAAGGGTTCCTGAGAGCCGTTGGGGATCCGTGGGCCTCTTGAGGGTGGCTGTGAGAATCAGGCCGGGGTGAGGGTCTGTGGGCATCTATGGGGCACCGTGGGTCTGCATGGGCAGGGGATTGAGGGGTCCTCAGAGGGTCTGTGGGCATCTGTGGGGCACCACGGGTCTGCATGGACAGGGGATTAGGGGGTCCTCGGGGTCCTTGGCACCAGCGTGGAGCTGTCAGAGAGGCCTGTGGGGGCCACGGGGGTGTACAGTCATCTGTGGAGCTCCATGGGGGCTGTGGCATGTGACTGGGTGTCCGCGGGCCAGGCAGAGTCTGAGTGCCGGCAGAGCGAGCTCAGCACAGCGGAGCGTGAGCAGGCCCTGCGCCTGAAGAGCCGCACGGTGGAGCTGCTGCCTGATGGGGCTGCCAACCTTGCCAAGCTGCAGGTGGGGTTGGGGATGTGGCTGGGGGGGGAGAGGCAGGGCGTGTTTGGGCGGGGTTGGAGGGCCCAGCCTGTGTGACACATACCCACCCCCCACCAGCTTGTGGTGGAGAATAGTGCCCAGCGGGTCATCCACTTGGCGGGTCAGTGGGAGAAGCACCGGGTCCCACTCCTGGCTGAGTACCGCCACCTCCGAAAGCTGCAGGATTGCAGAGAGGTAAGCAGTGGGACACTGGGCTGTGGGCAGGCCAGGGAAGACTCATTCCCTCTCTAGGGGGCCATCCCTGTGCTCTGCTCACTGTCTTCTGCCTGTGGGCTCCTGGCAGCTGGAATCTTCTCGACGGCTGGCAGAGATCCAAGAACTGCACCAGAGCGTCCGGGCAGCTGCTGAAGAGGCCCGCAGGAAGGAGGAGGTCTATAAACAGCTGGTAAGGCCTGTGTGAGGGACCTGGGTAGCTTAGGAGGGTGGGGGGCAGGTCCTGGGGCAGTGCCTGCTATGTCCCTGCCTAGGTGTCAGAGCTGGAGACTCTGCCCAGAGATGTGTCCCGGCTGGCCTACACCCAGCGCATCCTGGAGATCGTGGGCAACATCCGGAAGCAGAAGGAAGAGATCACCAAGGTACGCCGCCAGGGCCACGGAGGGTGGGTCATGTGGGCTGTCAGGCATAGTGTGGCTGCACACAGGGACCTCACACCCTCAGTGTCCAGTCGCACTCTAACACAGAATAGTCACACACAATCCATCCCAGTCACCCCTGACACAGTGACACAGTCCCTGTCTGGTGCACATGAGGACCCTCCACTGCAGCCAGCCTGCCCCAGGCAGGGGCTCATGGCCACCATGGTGTCTGCCAGATCTTGTCTGACACGAAGGAGCTTCAGAAGGAAATCAACTCCCTATCTGGGAAGCTGGACCGGACGTTTGCGGTGACTGATGAGCTTGTGTTCAAGGTGTGGGGCAGGTTGGGCAGGGGTGAGTGGGGTGAGGCTGGGCTACTGCCTTGTGCATCTGCTAACGGGCTGGCTGGGGTCCAGACCCAGGCCCTGTGCGAGGCTGGAGGTGCACTGATGCCCAGGGCTGGCTTTGTTTCATGGAGGATGAAGCTAGTGGGGTGGTGGGAGAGGGTGGCCTTCTTAGGGCATGGAGATGGTCAAGGGCAGCCCACTGATACCTTTGAGGTCCCTGTGTCTGGTCAGGATGCCAAGAAGGACGATGCTGTTCGGAAGGCCTATAAGTATCTAGCTGCCCTGCACGAGGTGAGGGGAGACATGTGCCTGGGGTGGGGCTGCTGGGGGTGGGTGGGGCTGGGTGCAAGCCTTCTGCTCCTGTTGTCCCCAGAACTGCAGCCAGCTCATCCAGACCATTGAGGACACAGGCACCATCATGCGGGAGGTTCGAGACCTCGAGGAGCAGGTAAGGCCTGGGGGCAGGATGGGGAGCCAGGGCAGGCGGGGGGACAGTTGCTCAGGTTATGCTGAGAGAGGCCGTGGAGCCAGACACAGCCTATGGCTGGACACCCAGCCCTGCCCCTTAGTGCCTGTGCCTGTGACCTGGGACAGGCAAGTGGCCTACTGTGAGCCCCAGCTTCCACCCCAAGGGCCCTCCTTCCTGCCTCCCAGGGCCATGGGCAAAGGCTTCAGTTTAAAGATGTAGGGGGAATCCTGCCACATGGCAAAGGATGCTTTGGGTAGAGGGAACACCACGTGAGTCCTGGCCATGGGACAGAGCAGGCTGTTGTTGAAGGTGGTGGGAGGGGCCCAGAGTAGCTGTGATGGGGGCTGGCGAGCAGGAGCTGGGAAAGGGGCTGTGTGTGCGCTGAGGGGGCATGTGTTCACGTTGCCTCAGATCGAGACAGAGCTGGGCAAGAAGACCCTCAGCAACCTGGAGAAGATCCGGGAGGACTACCGAGCCCTCCGCCAGGAGAACGCTGGCCTCCTGGGCCGGGTCCGGGAGGCCTGAGGAGCTGCCGGCAGAGGTCTCTCCCCAGCCTCAGGCAGGGATTTGGGGTGCTAGAGGCAGTGGCCAAGCACATGCCCTAGCTACTTCCTCCACTGCCCAGTTCCTCCTGCTGCAGCCTTGGACCCAGACCCCTGCCCACTGACCGCAGCCCTTATATGGGGTGATAGTCCAGCATGTGGGGAGCTCGGCTGCAGTTTATTGGGGATGGTACTGTGGGTTGGGGGCCTTGAATCCCAAATAAATGAGTAGTTCCTCTGCAGTCTAAGCTGAGGCATGGATCAGGGCTCAGAGAATGGGAGTGAGGTGAGTGGCAGGGGAGACAATGGGATATTTTTGGCAAGTCAGTGTGTGTGGCTGTGTATGTCTGCATGGGACTCAAGAGACCCACTGTGGGGCTGTGCGTGTGCACATGCGTGAGGTAACGCAGGTGAATTCTAACAGGCCGTGTGTGTGAGTGAGCATGTGTTGGGACCTCAGATCCTGAGGGTACTGACGCTGCTTCTGTGTAGGCCTCTGGGCACACCCGTGTCACAGTGCCCCTATGGGTCCTGAGGCAGGCTGTGGGTGTGCGCCTTGGGGGATGTGGGTTGTCAGGGCTGTGCTTGTGTGTGATTGTGTGACGATGCAGCTTTGAGGTTGTTTGAGTGTACTGAGGCAGGCTCTCTGTGTTTTGGGGTTTATGTTGAGTGAGGGACAGGATTGTGACATTTTGTGTGTCTATGTGACTTTTCCAGCCCTGAAGTCATCTGTGCGAGCAGCTGAGGCAGGCTGTGTGTGGCTGGTTGTGAAGGCTCTTGTTTGGCTGCAGGGCTCGACTGGGGGGTGTGTCTGGGGCAGAGGTCGGGGCTGGGGCCAGGAATGAGGCCCCTCTGAGCAGCCTTGGGGCAAAGGATATGATGGGGGAGGGATGGCTGCCAATGGGGGAACAGGGGCCCTGGCAGGCAAGACAGTGGAAATCTCACTTCTTGTTCCCTGTGGGCACATCCAGGGCCTGTCATCTCTGACCCCACCACCTCTGCCTCCCACCAGTTTGGCCCCTGTTCATCCGTCCTCCTTTCCTTGATCTTGAGGTCAGGGGCCAGGTGTAGGGTTGGAACACCTGCTTGGCCTCTGGCTCCGTTTCTTGCGGAACTCCAACTCATCCACGGTCCACACAGCCCCCTTCTCGCTCTCCACCCGCACAAAGCACTTGTGCAGGCTCAGGTTGTGGCGGATGGCGTTCTGTGGAAGGCCGGGGACAGGGAGCAGGTGGGCGTCAACCTCTGAGGCCAGCAGCCACCACCAGCAACCCACATCCCATTCCTCCCCAATATGCCTATAAGCCCAGCCCCAGGCCTGCCCACTTCGAGCTGCGGTGGCACTTGAGGCTATCCCAGCCACCGCCACCTCAGAGGAGCTCACCTTCCAGGTGGCAGGATGGTTTCTGAAGAAGGCGAACATGCGTGTGAACCAGTGGTAGATCTCATTGAGTGTCCGCTGCTTCTCTGGAGCCTCCAGGATGGCCTGGAAGTTGGGGGGTGGGATAAGGGGCACGTTCCCCAAAGTTGGGGTTTAGAGGGGCTGTGACCTACCCTGAGCCATCTGACATGGGGGTGGAATTGTGGGGGCAGATAATCAGGGACAGGACTAGATGTGGGGTGAAGCATGGGGTCAAAGATGGAGTTAGAAAGGGGTGAAGTGTCGGGTCGGGCAGGGTTAGATGTGGGGTGTGGGTATGGTTGTTCTGGGATTAGGTAACGGATCAGGACTGAGGTTGGGAGTGGGGTCTTGTTCAGGGCTAGGGCTGAAGTGAGGTGAAAGGTCTGGGATGGAGTTGGAGTTGGGGTTCTCTGTGGAGGTGACATTTCAGGGTTGGGGAAGGTGAAGGGTCAGAAGTGGGGTCAAGGATTTGGAAGGGGTAAAGGGCGAGGCCAACTTAAGGGTCAGGGAAGGGGTGGGTTAAGAGTCAGGCTGGGGGTGAACTCAGGTGGGTCTAGGGGTGAGGGATGGGATGACGTGGCTTTAAGTCAGGAGCCAGAGATGGGTTGAATTATTGAGTATCTTACATGTCAGGGACGTGGTTAGGTGATCAGGCTCGGGGCAAGGATGAGGTTAGTTGTGGGGTTCGGTGTGGAGTGAGGCTGAGGGTCAGGGAATTTGATCAGTTTGAATTCAGGAATGGGATTACAGAGTCAGTGATGATGATTGCAGTGAGGTTATCAGTCAGGATGGGACTAGGTCAGGGCTTCAGTTCAGAGATAGTTGAGGAATGTCTGGTATCATGTAGGGGTGAGGTTCAGGTTTGGGGTTAGGTGTGGGGCTAGGATGAAGGTTCTGAGAAGGCATTGGGGATGCTGAGATGAAGGAGTTGGGATGGGGTGATGAAGTTAAGGGTCAGATGAGTGTTACAAGGAAAGGCTGGGAATGGTGCCCAGCTGGGGGTATATTGACATGGAGTACGTTGGGGCCAGGGAAGGAGATGGGGTTGGGTTGGCATAAAGGCTGGGGAAGGAGTTAGAGTAAGAACTGGGGTATGTTTAGGGCAAGGTGCAGAGATGGGGTTAGCTTTGGGCTATTTTATAGGTCCAGGAGAGGGTTAGGTATGGGGCTGATGTGGACATCTGGAAGAGGATAGGTTTAGGGTCAGAATTTGGCATGCTCTGGCCTGGATAGTGGTTTAGGTTTGGATTCGTGGACAGGTTTGGGGTGAAGCTAGCATGAGGGGTCACATTTGAGGCGTGGCTTGGGGCTCCTTGGGGCTGGGGCTTGGGAATGGAGGAACCCACTCTGAGGGCGCTCAGAGGGAGACAGGAGTTTGGGAGGCAGGTCCCCCACCCCATCTTTGTCTTCCTCCTCCTTGGGGCCGAGCTGCCCTGCTTACCCAGCGGATGAGCGTGGCATAGGTGAAAGGGGGTCGCATATTGTGGAACTTGAAGTAGTCCATGTTGTGAAGGAACTCTGTCAGAGGGTGGGGATGAATCAAGCCCCATGCAGGACCTCCTAGCTAGCTCCCTGTCCCCTCTCCCTACAAGGTGAGTCTACAGGCCTGAGATCTCACCGTCAACACCTGTGTCCACGGGCACAGGTACTGTTTGCTGAGCACCTGACATAAGTTGTATCATTTATTCTTTGCACCACTTCTGCCAAAATACTTCTCCCCGAGGTTGCAAAGAAGCGGAGTAACTTGCATACCAAAGGATGCAAGAGGTTAAATGGCAGAGCCAGGATGACAGTCAAGGTCTCTGATCCCTGCTAAGCCTACAGGCCAGGCCTGGTGGATAGCAGTGGATAGGTGAGCTCGGGCAAATCTACCCCGATTTTCCTTGGTCAGGGGAGGAAAGGAGGTGCTCCTGGAATTACTTGGCAGGGTCCCTCCCTTCTGATGGCCGAATGTAGTAGCTGGAGTCCAGAGTGGGTGAGGCATGGCCCCAATCCCCAGGGGAGTCAGAGCTAGGGGCCAGACACTCGAGACCATATGGGGGACTTTCAGGCCACGAACATTCTGAAAGGAAGCTTTTGTGAGCGGATGCATTTTCCCAAAGGCTGAGTGGTGGCAGCTGCGGCGGTGGTGGTGGTGGTGGGAAGGGGCAGCATGGAGCTCCTTTGCACCCTCCTCCCAGAGCCTGTCAGGATTAGGAGCTTGGGAGCACTGTGTAGTGCAAGGACCATTCTTACCTGGGAATGTGCTGTTTCCATGGCTACCCCACAGGTGCCTCCGCACAGCAAACAGGCTGTCAGGGGCCTCCCGGGGGCCAGACCAGGCTGGGACGGCACTGCCTTGGCTGCCAGCAGCTACAATGCAGCAGGAGCCCTTGTCAGATGATGCCTGGGGGAGGGGTAGAGGCTGGTGACCCAGAGGCTTAAACTTCCCACTTTTTACTTTTTATTTTTTTTGAGACTGAGTCTTGCTCTGTCGCCCAGGCTGGAGTGCAGTGGTGCGATCTCGGCTCACTGCTATCCCCCGACTTTCCGAGTTCAAGCAATTCTTTCTTTCTTTTTTTTTTTTTTTTTTTTTTTTTGAGTTGGAGTCTCACTCTGTCACCCAGGCTGGAGTGCAGTGGCGCGATCTCAGCTCACTGCAAGTTCCGCCTCCCCGGGTTCATGACATTCTCCTGCCTCAGCCTCCCAGTAGCTGGAACTATAGGCACCTGCCACCACGCCCGGCTAATTTTTTAGGTTCAAGCAGCCTCAGCCTCCCGAATAGCTGGGACTACAGGTGCCCGCCACTATGCCCTGCTAATTTTTGTATTTTTGGTAGAGACGGGGTTTCACCATGTTGGCCAGGCTGGTCTCGAACTCCTGACCTCATGTGATCCACCTGCCTCGGCCTCCCAAAGTGCTAGGATTACAAGCATGAGCCACACTGCACCCGGCCCCACTTTATTTTTAAATCAGTGTTTTCCAAAGCAAAGACGCCCTCTTCTAAATTCCAGTCTGAAGTGGAATCCCACAAAACAGCATGAGCCATATTTATTAGAGCGCAGGTGTGGATGTCGTATGTGGCCACTGATGCTGAGACCATGAGCTGGGGTTGAATAGGGCTCTTTACCACTCAATCGTGACCTTGGGAAAGTCACCTAAACCTCCCTGGCCTCAATTTTCCTCATCTGTACATTGGCATCATGAGAAATAAACTACCACCAGCAAAGCACTCAAAAACAGTGCCTGGCCTCCAGGGCTGGGTTCATGGGTGTGTGACCTGTGTGGTTATGTGGCACCCTGTGCTTTGTTTAATGCTCTGTGGTTGCCATCTTGAAATCTGAACAAGGGGCCCTGCAGGTTACATAGCTGGTCCTGCTGGCGCACAGCCTGCGTCTGGAAAGTCTTTGGCTATTTGCATTTGCTTTGACAACTCAGGATCACAGTGTTTGGGGATCTTGGGGTCAGAGGGTTTGTAAGTGGAGGGGGACAGATTTCTAGGTCTGGGCATGTTTGGAGCTGGGGACAGGGGACCCTAGCTCTCAGGACCTGCATGTGAGGTTAGGTTCCCTGCACCCTGCAGACCTCCTCCCTGCCCCCCAGCGGTCTGAGTCTGCCACCACCAGTCCTGGGGTCGCTCACCACAGATGAAGCCTTGGTCAGTGCCATTTTCCCAGCCAGGTGGGCCTGCATAGCACTCAGCTTCTCCTTCTCCAGCACCAGCTGTGAAATGGCACAAACATGAGGCCTCAGCCTGGCCCTTCTCTGCCACATCTTTGCCCAGGCTACGGTATTCCCTGGGAGTGCCCACTCCTCTTCCTTCCTTTATATCAGCCCTCGTCCCAGGTGAACTTGGTTTCTGGCACATGGTGGACAGAAGGTTTTGTGTACTATCCCTGTCCCCTACCCCCCACTGCCCTGGCATTACCTGCTGCTCCAGAGACTGTACCATCTCTCTCTGGAGGAGACATTGTGCCCTGCCCTTCTCATCCAGAAGATGGTCTGCTTGGCAGTGCCTAAGTAGGGAGAAGATTCCATGCAGGTGACCATGACAGGCCTGGCCTGGCTCAGTGCTCTGAATGGGGAGGGCCCAGACCCTCTGGGAGGTCTCTCGTTTGAGCCCCAGCGCCTCTCCTCTCTCTATCTCAGTCTCTGTCTCATACTCCTCATTCCCTTAACACATGCCACTCGGCACCTACTGCATGTCAGGCCTGAGCTCACCACTTGAGCCTGGCCAGGGTGCTGGAGATAATATTGGAAGTGTGGTGAAATGAGAATGGGCCAGGGAGGTGAGAGTGGGCAAGGCATTCCGGGTGGAGGGGACGGCCTGTGCAAAGGCCTGGCTGCAAGGAAGACAGGACATGCGGGGTTGCTGCTAAGGGTTGTGTGCAGTGTGTGTGTGTGAGAGAGAGAGAGAGAGAAGAGAGAGAGAGAGAGAGGCATGGGGGGACTGAGGGGAGGCAGCAGCAGCCATCTAGAGGAGCTAGAACTTTGGGGACAGTAGAATAAGGCTGGCATGTTGGCATGAGGAGTAGCAGGGCAAAGCAGTTAGGTGTGCAGAATCTGGAGCCTGGCTGCATGGGTTCAAATCCCAGATCTGTCACTCAGGAACTGGGAGATTTTGATCAAGGCACTTAACCTCTTTGGCCTCAGTCTCCTTGTCTGTAAAATACGGGTAAATAACAGAACAAATGTTTCTTATTATACATATGAGGAAACTGAGGTCCAGAGAAGCTAAGTAATTTGTCCAAGGTCACACAGCCAGTCAGGGATGGAGCTGGGATTTGAACCCACAGTCTCAGAGTTTAGCTCTTTCATCTTACTACTTATTGGGATTAAGCCTGGGCTGAGATCTGTACCCCAGACCTCTCCCCACAAGCCAGGGCCAGTGGACTGGCACAGGCCTGGGCCACTCACTTGAGGAAGTCCTCTGGCTCTTCGAAGACCTTCTCACATCCGGGCCACTTGCAGACACCATTTGCCAGCAGTGGGTAGGAGCTCTGGGGCATGGCCGAAAGGGTGCTGAGGGGATAGAGGGTGTCAGGGGAGGGGATAGGAGGGTGAGGATCCTTCCCAGCCCTGTCCACTGACCTGTCCTTCCTGGGTGCACCAGGATTTGGGAAGGTGCAGAGCAGTGCTGGCTCCCTGGACACCCATTCCAGGCTGGCCACGTTGATCCCTGTGGGTGGGGACAGGGCATCTCTGGAGGCTGTGGGCTGGGCTCTGGAGCTTGACCCACAAGGCCTCTCATTTTGAGCTTCCCACCCTCCTGAGCCTCAAAAACCCTGACTCCCAGGGGGCTCTGCTGTCCCCAAAGTCCCAGGCTTCTGGCAGAGAAGCTTAAAGACGGCCATTTGCAGGTGCTGACATTTTGACTAGCTTTGTAAAGCTCTGTGGTTTCGTGATTTTGACATTCTGCATCTTTAAGGTTCTGCACCTGACATTTTTTGGAGGTTGGAGTTTCCAAGCCTCTGAGACCTGACACCTTTGACCCTCAGAGGACTGCAATTCAGAATAGCCTACACTGCTCACGGCCAAGGATCTGGGGACCCAGGGGTTCTGTGAAGCCATGGGGTATGGGCTGAGGTGTTACCAGGTGGGAGGCCAGGCCGGGCCTTGAGGGAGAAGACCCCAGTGGCAGTGGTGGGTGGTGGGAGGCTGATCATGGCTGGGCTCTCCAGGGGGTGCACCTGCAGCACAGGGGTCCGGGCGTGGGCATCCACCGTTGAGAGCTGGGGGGCACATGTGGGCTGTGGTTCAGCCTGGCTTGGGGTCCCTCCCCACAGTTCTCCCACCTGCTCCCTCCTCCCTGCCCATTCACCGTCCATACCTGGTGCATGAAATGTGGCCTGTCCTGGAGGAGTGCCTGTAAGTGGGGCAAGGGGCCCAGCCGTGCCCCGGAGGGTGCCACCATGACTAGGGGCAGTGTGGGCAGCTGGGCAGAAAGGCAGGTGGGTGAGAGGCCATCCTGATCCTCAGTGTTCTGTGTCTAATTTATATACTCTGCACTGCAAGCCCACATGGTAGATGCTATGATCGTCCCCCTTTTATACGTGTGGAAACTGAGGCTTATGGAGATCGAGTAACTTTTTAAAGATCAAACAGCTAATAAGTCGCAGAGCTGGCCTCAACCCTATCACCTCACCTCCTTGGCCCCAGTCCTCTCCTCTTGTCACATGGGGATGGGGACACATAGCTATGCCTATGGGACTATAATATGGCCTCCTCTTCTCCTGAGACAGGGATTGGGAGGTTGGGGAAAGCCTCCAATCTCTGAGGCCTGGCAGGTGGGGACTTTCTTGGCCCTGCAACATCTGCATAAGTCACAGACTTGCCTGGGACCCAGAAACCACTTCCTGTGCCCCAGCCAGCCCCCCTCCCGCCCGGTGCCACAGTAAAGGTCGGCACCTGTAGGTCCAGGTACCCCACCCTGCCTGCCCCATCCTGGGCCCAGGGCCTCACCTGCAGCTGCGATGGTGGCATAGGGTTCAAGGAGGAAGAGGAGGCATGAGCCCCGCCTCGAAGATCTCGGCCCTGGAAGATTCCCCCAGGGCCCCGGGCCCCCAGCAGGTCTGAGGCTTTGGGCGCAGCCCTCCAGCTGGGCGAGGCTCCTGGGGATGGGCCAAGGGCCAAGGAAGGGGCCGAGGGCTTGCCTGGCCTGGGGTTGGGCATCGGGTCCTTGTCCAAGGGCAGGCTGTGTAGACAATAGGGGAAAGGAGTCACACATGTACTAGGGCGGTATAAGATACTCAACCACCTGAACCACGTGGACACCCCTCTGGTCAGAGCAGGCATTGGCTGGGACATGTCCCGAGGGGTCCCACAGCTGCACCCCAGCTCTGGACACACACACATACACACACACACACACACACACACACCCAAGAACACAGGTACACATGCATACCCACACACGCCCCACGTGCAGAGGTCCAGCACCTGGCTTGCCTGCCCACGCTAGCACAGCCCTGGTGTAGATGTGTCCTCTATGAGGGCAATGGTTGTTTCTCCCTCCACTTGAGAGCTGTTTTAAGCCTCAGGCCTCCGGCCCTCCCGCACCCTGCACAGGCTGTGTTTGCTCATGTTGCCGGAGCTGGTCTTGGACTTTCTCCTGGGAGTCCTATTTTGCCCCAGTGACTAGGCACGGACTCAAAAGATTCATCTGGCTGCTGTGAGTGGAGCTAGTGAGAAGGCTATTGTAATAGTCCTGGCAAATGATGATGCTGGCACAGAATGGGCTGGTGGCAGTGGAGAAGGTGAGAAATGGGTAGATTCTGAGACTTAATCTGCAGCTGGATCAGGAGCAGTGCTGGCAGCTTGGATGTAGTGGGTAAGAGGGAGGGTCAAAGTAACATGGGTTTTAGCTTGAGCAGCTGGAAGGACCGAGCTGACATTACCTGAGATGGGGGACATGGCGGGGAGTTGGATTGGGGGCAAAAGTGCAGGTGTGGATAGACATGAAGAGTCTGGCATTAGATGTGTGAGTGGAGGAGCTGAGGCGGCAGCTGAATACGGGGGTCTGGATCTCAGGGCAAGGAGGCGAGTCCAGGAGTGTGATCATGCACGGATCCAGCATGGCAAGTGACAGAGAGGAGGAGAGACAGGGTCTCTTGAGCTGGGGCCTGTAGAAGCTTCTCAATCCAATCCCCATCAGAGTTCACTCCAATTTCTGGCCCTCGAGCCTGGCTCATCCTACTCACCCTGCCTCAAATGCCCACTCCTCCTCTTCCCCTGTCCAAGCCACGCAAGGCCTGCTCTTCTATTGTCCTCACCTTGAAAGCCCTCCACAATGGCTCCAGGCCCCTCTATTGAGCCCCAGAATCTTCCACTCCCCGAGGGAAGCACTGGCTTTTCAGGATCCTGTAATCCTGGTCTGAGAGGAAGCCAGAGCTGGAAGGGACTGCCCAGCCAACCCCATTATTACAGAAGGGGATGCTCAGATGCCGAGTTCCATAGTCCCATAGTGACTTGAGAACTCCACTTCTTTCTTTAGGAAGTGTTTCTGTGTGCACATTTTATAAACTCTCTGGTGTGTGTATGTGTGTGTCTGTGTGTCTGTGTGTCTCCGTCTCTCCGTTCCACCTCACAGCACTGAGTTGGGCACACAGCTGCTGAGAGCAGCCCGGGGGAGTATGGAAGGGTTCTGGGGGAGCAGTTGCTCCTTCCTTTCTTTGCTGTCACCTCCTGGGGGTTGACAGAGCTGTGGTGCTGAGGGAGATGAGTGTGAGAATCCAGGTATTAAGTTCTTAGTCTCCTGGGGGCTTAGAACATTACTTCGTGAGAAACAGGAGTGTGGGTCTGTGGAAGCTCCAAACAAGGGCCTGGGAGAGCACTGGTGAGATGAGAAGGTGAGTGAATGAATGAAGCCAGAGATGGGGTGATGTTCCTTCAAGCCGAGGAATAACAAAGATTGCCAGCAACCACCAGAAGCTGGGGGAGAGGCCTGGAACAGCTTCTCCCTCATTGCCCCCAGAAGAAACCAACCCTGGCAACACCTTGATCTTGGACTCTAGCCTCCAGAACTGTGAGATGATCAATTTCTGTTGCTGAAGCCACTCAGTTGTGGTACTTTGTTATAGCAGCCAGAACAAACTAATACCGATTTTGGTGCAAATGGATGTTTTCCACCATTCTGGCCTGGCCCATGCGGCTGGCCTGCGGTCACTTCTGAAGCTGCCTGGACACTTGGCCAGAGCTAAGAATTCTCCCCAAACACATGTGGGATGGCCTGACTCAGTGAAGCATAGATACATTTTCAGACAGGGATGTGGAGATGATCTGTCTGGGGGTAGGGGACCTAGAGGGCCGGGCTGGGCAGCCGGCTTCCTGCACTGTCTGTTGGGACATCCCTTTCTGACTGGGTTTCTCAGAAGCTGCATGGGGGATGTTTCTGGGACGCAGATTATGTTTTCATATCGGGGTCTGCATCTGGGCCCTGTTGTCACAGCCCCCGACTTGCCCAGATTTTTCCGCCATTGACGTCATGGCGGCCGGATGCACCGGGCTTCATCGACACCACGGAGGAAGAGAAGAGGGCAGATACCCCACCCCACAGGTTTCGTTCCGAGAATTGGCTGCCCTGTCCTGCAGCAGGCTTGGCCCAGGTGGGGTGACGTGGGTGCTAGTGGATGTGGTGTCCATCTGGCCACCGTGACAAGCCTCTAGCTCTGTAGACCTGGCCCTTCTTGGGTTGTGGAGAGGACCCAGGTTTGAAGCTCTGAGAGTGCCAGGCAGGCTCCACAGATACTGGGACCCCTGGGGTCTTCAAATAGTATAACACCAGGACTTCAGAATTATAGAGCAGCATTTCTTAGATTTAAAGGATCCTAGAATCTCAAAACCACAGACTGTGGGGTCTATGGTCCCAATATCTCAGTATGTGTAGGGCCAGTGTCCCTGGTATCCAAACTCCCTGGAACCACCTGAAAGTCAGGCAGCTTGCTGCTTTATAGGGCCTCTTGCCTACCAGACCTGGAACCACAGCTAGCCTCCCCAGGGCCTCAGTCTCCCTGTCCACTCTGGAACAACATTCCCAAATACATGGCCACTCCGCCAGAGATGGCAACGGGGAGGAGGTGGTTGAGGCTGGTGTGCCTTTGGCCTGGGCCTCATCGGGGGAGCTGGAAAAGTCTCGGCCTTCACCAATACAGAGCCCATCACCAGACTCTCTGGAGGGGCCCCACAACCAAGGTTTTCAGGGACCAGCACCAGCTCTGGGGACACACAGCCTGACTGACTGACATTCCTCCATCATCACCACGCTCTGGCCAACTAGGCCTCCTGACCCATGGAGCCCAGGGCCTCACCTAGCCCAGCTCTTGTGAGGCTGGGCCCCACACTGTGATCGTGGATCGTCCAACCTGTGAGAAGCTGGGGTCCAATGTGTGAGAAGGCAGAAGGGGGAATGGTAGCCCAGGTCCCCCTTCCCCCTTCTGGGTGCTGAGGGATAAACTGAGGCCTGTAGTTGAGGAGAGAGCCAGAGCCAAGGTCCTACCTAGAGTCCTGAGATCTAGGCTTGGATTGCAACTCTGCCGCTGCATTTTGGCGAGACCCTGGGATCTCTGGTCCTCAATTTGCCCTTCTACACTGAGCAGGGAGAGGCGTGGAGTCGACGAGGGCCAGGGCCCTTCTACACTGTGTCTGGTTAAGTCATTAGGTGTCTGCAGGGCTTCAAGTTGACAAGTGCCCCTCTATCCAGGGGACTGGCTGAGAGACAGGGATACATAGAGACAAAGAGACACACACAAAGAGCGAGCAAGAGAGAACAAGAGATAGAGACACTGAGAGAAATGGAGACATACATGGAGAGCCAGAGTGCATACGCGCGAGAGGATTGCCTCAAATAAGAACATTTGCTGGTCTCTGGCTGGTTCAACTGATGCTGCCTGAAATAATCAAGAATAAAGAAGGACAAGGTGCCAGGGACGCCCATGGCTGGGTATTGAATTGTATTGCAAAGCAACAATCAGCAAAACAATGTGGTCCTGGTATAAGAACAGATACCGGGGAAGAGAACAGAACAGAAAGCTTGGACATGGACCCACGTATGGAGAGAACTGAGTTTGTGATGAATGTGGCATTTCAAACTGGAGGACCATGGAGGATGGATTGTTTAACAAATGTGTCTGAGATAATTACAGAGAAGATAAAATTATTGAATGAATAATCAGTCCATTATCCCAACAACCCCTCCCTGCCCAGTTTGAAATGTCACCACCATCATATACCCTAAAATACCCAGATCCATTCAAGATATAAGCTTTAATACCTAATGCTGATCTTGGGTTTATTGTGTGTCAGGCCTTGTGCTAAGTATTTACTGTGGTTAAAAATTTTAATCTAAACAAAGACTCCTGAGGAAGGTACTATTATAATCATTGCAGTACATATGAGGAAATGGAGGTACGGAGAGGTTAAGTGCCTGGCTAAAAATCACACATATGGCTTGGGGTGACGCTGGGTTTGTCCCAGACAGTCTGGCTTCAGTACCCACACTCTTAACCTCTATAGTAAATGGAAAAAATGAAGCCATAAAAGAGACTAGAAGCCAACATAGGTGAACATTTATCTCATTTTCAAGTGGGAAAGGACTTTCTAAGCACAAAACCAGAGACAGAAGCCACAGAAAAAAAGACTAACCTATTTGACTATATAAAACCATCATAAGCATCACAAAAAAACACCATAAACAAATAGAAAAAAACAAATGATGAATTGGGGAAAATATTTGCTATATATGTATGGCTGATGAAAGGTTAATAACCATTCCAAATAAACAGCTGTGGCAAATCAATAAGAGAAAAATAAGATGAACACCCTATTAGGAGTAAGGACGTAAGGACGTGACCAGACAACCAAAAAAGAAAAAAAAAAAATAAGAAAAAAGCACAAATGGCCAACAAACAGTAAAAGTAATCAAAAGATGCAAATTTCAACAATGTGATAATGTGTTTTTCTTACCTGTAATGTTGGGAAATAATTAAAACATAATAATACTCACCCAGGGTTAGGTTAAGTAGAGGGAGCATAAAATAGGACAATCTTTTGGAAGGAGAATTTGCAGAGAGGGTCATAAACTTTAAAAATGCATGTTCCCTTTGCCCCAGCAACTCCCTTTTCAGGAATCCAAGGAAGCAGTCAGGGAAGTTTATAGAAAAAAACAAGAAACAACTGGAATGTCCAACAACTGGCACTTGGTCAAATCAATCAAAGTTCATGCTGATGTGAGGACAGTCTTATCCCTCAGGAAAGATCATGTATTCAAACAATTTTTAGTAAGCTTCAAAAACACTACTATTAATTGAATAAAGCAAGAACAAAACCAATATATAGCATGATTCTAATTTGGTTACAGAGATACTAATAGCTAACACTTCGTGAGCATTTATTGTGTGCCAAACGCTATGCTAAGCCTGCAGAATCGAGCTCATCCCAGCCCTGAACAACCTGCTCGCTTCCTGAACATGGACTCTGGTCACACACATGCAGTCCTGGGGTAGGTCCACACAGCTAAACCATGGTTGACAATGGCGTGAAGTGCTCCCTGCCCCCACCCCCACCCCAAGGGTCTCCTCTAAAGTGATACACGCAAAGTTCAGTTAAGTGCTCAGCTTGCCCAGGCACCTTGCAATCCTGCTACCAGGGTGAACAGAACTGATGCTCACTCTCATAAAATGTAAAGGTCCTCAGTGACATTACTATTATTAAGCGCCAGCTGTGTACAAAGTTCTAGGCTGGATGCTGGCTGGGATGGCGGGAGGGTGGGGGGAAGGCAAGAAAAGAGAGTGGGAGAGATGGAGGAAAGGAGATCGATGGAGTGTAGTCAAGATGGAGGAGACAGAGACAGGGGAGATGGTCAGAGGCCAGGAGAGATGCGGGGAAAGAGAGTCTGAGTGTAGCAACAGACAGATGGCGGGAGAAAGAGAGGCAGAGAAACACGTAAAAGAGCGAGACAGGGTGAGCAGAGAGACAGAGAAGGATGAGAGGCATCAAGAGCTAAGAGACAAAAAGATGAGAGAGATGCAGTTGAAATTTTCAGTTGCACCTGGACAGCATTTCAAGTTGTTCAAAGCTCTGAAATCCATAAAGACTGGCAGCTGACATATTTTTAAAATCCTATCCATCTACGTATCAATTGATGAATTCATTTATCTTTGCCCCTGCCCATGCATTAAGTACTTCACCTTTAAGTCTTCTGCCATTTATTCTATTATTATTTTTTTAAAGACCTTACCTGGCTGGAATCACGGTAGCTGGGTACATCCCAATGTACCAGAGGGCCCCTGACCCCCCGGTGCCTACCTCCCTGCCATCTCCTCCAATGCGGCCCACATCTGGTAGGGGAGAGCGGGGACACTCACCTTGGTGAAGTGGACTGACAGAAAAGGATCAGCCTGGCTTGTGGGAAACTGTCACGTATCAAAAACAACTTTGCTTTTATACCGAGAAGAAAAACCACGCTGTACGGTGTGGAAGCCGCAGACCTCTCTCTTCTAATAATCCAAATTTTTTTTCGATGAGTGTGTACGCTGATAATCACGGGGTGGGGGGGGTTCTCATAGTTTTCTCTCTCTCTCTCTCTGTGTTTCTCCTTTTCTTGATTATGAGACTTAAACGGAAATTTTGAAATTTTGGGTTTTTTTCTTTGCCCTTTACGAGTCATCTGAAAATATGATTTCTTCCCCTCACCACAGAGGTGAGAGGTATCAATGAGATAATAGGGCTCATGAGAAACCACAGTTTTTAAAACAAAAGTGTGGAGTGTGAAAAAAAAAAAAAAAACAAAAAACAAGGGAAAAGAACTAAAATAAATCACAGGGCCAACCCGAGGCAGGCAGAGACACCGTTCTGTGAGTGAGAAGATATTTGAGGGTCTCTGGGGGAAAGAAAGAGAGAATCTGAAGCTCTATGTGTGGATGGGAAATGCCAGTGAAAGAGACAGAATAGGGCTGGGTTCCCAGAGGCCTTGCCCTGCTCCAGGCCTCAGTTTCCCCATAGATGAAATTGATATGGTCCCCACTGCTCAAACTACCCAGCGAGGGGAGTTCTGGACCCCCTGCAACACCCCTCCCACAGAGGGTGAGGGGCATGTAAGTTACTTCATGGAGAAGAAAGTGGAGAGTCCACCGTCATCCCCTACAATTCATGGAATCGAAGAGTCGGAGAATCCCTGGCTCCCAGAATCTACTGATAGTTACTGAATGAGGAAAGAGAGAAAAGTCTTGCCTCATCACGTTTTAGGGCTTGAGTGCCCTGACCCAGCCACTGTCCCACTGGGAAGGTCCCTAGCAGGTCCCCAGTATTAATGCATCCATCCTCACGAAGAAGCCCAGAGGCCCACTGGGACCCTGACCCTCTTGTTTCAGGAACATCATGGCCTGATCCTTCTGAGGCCCTCAGCCTTTGGGATCTTTTGCTTTGAAAAGCCCCAGATTCCAAGGATTTAGGATTCCAAATATCCGCCATCATCTCAGTAGCTGATGTTTATCTTGAATTTTCCATGGGTCAGATACAGTGCTGAACATGTCTCATAAGTGATCATGTTCAAACCTCACCATGGCCCCTTGAGCTCCATCTCATTATTATTGTATTGCTGTTATACAGATGAGGAAAATGGAGGTATAAGTAGTCAAGCAACTTGCCCAAGATCACAGAGCTGGCGAGTGTGGGTCCCGCTTTCTTTGGTGCTGGGCTTTGAAATCCCCAAGTTTTCCTGAACTCGATGGTCTCAGGTTTTAAATTCTAGGATGGATGACAGGGAGATCCTGGGATTTGCAGAGTCCTTGGAGACTTGAAGCTTGTGAGGTTTTTAGGTTGTCCGGGAATTGGCAGCTGCATTTCTTGACCTCAGCAGGCACTCTATCCAACCACTGGTCAGCATGGTAGACCAGCCCCCAGGGGCTTCTCCTGACAGGCCATGGTGGAGACTTCCAGCTGCCAGCACCCTGCAAAGCCCAGGGTTCTAGTTGTCCAACGTCCACTCCAGCCCTCTACAAGACTGGCTTCAGACCTGGGGAAGAGAAATTGGAAAGGGCTTTTTATTTATATGGTACAAATCTGGTGGCCAAGACCCACCCCTTCACCCTTTTGCCCCCTTTCCTCCCCCAACCTTCTAAGCCCTCATAAAAAGGAGGGCCTCTTTCCTCAACTCAGACTCACCCTTCTGGAAAAAGCCCAGAGTGGGCCTGATGGCCTGGCTTTGTGAAGACAAGAAAAAAAAAAAAAAGAAGAAAAAAAAAGACCTTAAAAAAATCAGCCAACAACAATTAAAAAAAAAAAAAAAAAAAAAAAAAGTACCCAACCCTCCCTACCATTAGTTCAAAACAAAACTTTCACTGGTTGAGACTTCTGAGTTGGTGGGACACATCTGAGACCCAGAAATGGCTTGGGTGTGTTGGACAGCCAGGGGAGGCACCAAGGTGGGATGAGGTCCCCTGCTTGGAGGCCTGCAGGGACCCCGTGTACAGCAGTTGTTTAACAGATGTCACAGCATGTGGGAGGGAGCAAGGGAGGAGGTGAGGAGCATGCATGTCAGGAAGAAGTCCTGGGGAGCTGATTCTAGTGATGGTCCCAAGGTTAATGACCCCTTGCAGTGATGGTCCCAAGGTTAATGATCCCTTGCAGTGATGTTCCCATGGTTAATGACCCCTTGCTCCCTGCAGACTTGGGTCGGAATGTTCCCTACACCTCCTGTGTAATTATAAACCAGGCCAGTTCTATCAGTGGAGGCCTTGTTCCCTGCCCCAGCACCTGTCCCCTCCTGGAAATGGGGGCTAGTTTTCTCTCTCAAGATCAGAGGTGTGGGCTGCATTCTCCTTACACCTTCTCCAGACCATCTGTCCCTTACTGTCACTCACTCCATGAAAGAGAGTGGCCAGAGAGATAGGAGGCAAACAGAGTGAAGGTGGTGGCCGGGAATGTCAGCTGGCCCTTTGGGCAGGGCCCAGGGTGTGAGAGGGAAATGCTACGGCTGCTGAAAGCCAAGATCCTTGCAGAATGGGGGCTGGGGTCAGAAGGGCAGAGAGGGGTAGAGGTCGCTACCTCCTCTCTATACTGGACTATATCCTCTCTCATGGAGGGCTTCTCGGGGAGACTGGGAGGGTTGGGAGTTGGGGGTGACTGGGCAAGATTAAACGGGTCAGGAAAAGTCCCCAGAGACAGGGGCCTCTGACAAAGACTTGAAGGAGATGAGGGAGGGAGCCAGCTAGATATCTGAGGAACTCCAAAGGAAACAGCCAGGGCAAAGGTCCTGAGGTGGGAGTATACCTGATTTGTTCAAGGTCTACAAAGAGGCTGGTGTGGTTAGTGTGGGGAGAGCAAGAAGAAGAGAAGTTGGAGGTGAGGTCAGAAAGGGGACTTGGAGGTTAGACCACACAGGACCTTGTAGGCCATGGTAAAGACTTTGGCTTCAATGCTGAGTGAGGACGAAGGCATGACAGGGTTGTGAGCAGAGGAGAAACATAAACTGTGTTAGGATTTAACAGGAAACCCCTGAATGCTGAGTGTACAATGGAGTCTAGGGACTGAATGTGAAAGCAGGGGACCAGCAAGGAGCTGGTTACTGCAGTAGTCTAGGTGACTGGTGATACTGCTGCTAGTGGAGGTGGTGAGAAGAGGGTGGATTTGGTAAATATTTTTAATAGACAGCCAAAAGGATTTGTTGAAGACTGAGGGTCTTGGAGCCAGATCAGGACAGGCAATGCCCAAACCAGGTGGGCGGGAAGGAGTCCCTGGACTATTTGCCAGCTTGAACTTTTAGGTGAGAAAAAAAATAAAGTTCTATCTTGCTTAAGCCCCCATTATTTTATGATTTTTCTGTTACTTGCAACTGAACATATTTCTTTCTAACTCATGGACATCCTGGACATGGAGACCTGGGGAGAGGGGCTGCTGGAAGGATCACCTCCCTCCTAGGATGCTGTGAGGTTCTAATGAGGTAACAGCATGCTCAGAACCTGGCACTCAGTAGGTGTTCAGTAAATCTTCCCAGGATGGAGAAGGAATGTATGAATGGATGTATTCAGCAGACAAAAGCTGCAGTTGAGTTCCCACAGAAGGTGAGACTGCAAAAGGAGAGTGAAAGGAGTTCACTAGATGGAAGCAGCAGAAGGAACAGCACTCTTGCGAGAGGGAACAGTAGCAGCAGAGATGGGCGGACAGAAAGAAGCGAGGTGAGGCCCCTGTGGGGTGTGGAGTATCAGGCTGGGCAAGAAGGACAGGGCTTTGATTGTGATTCCATTGGTCAGAAGCTACCCATATGCCCAATCGACTTCTGGTAGCGGACAGTCAGCCTCAGTGTTTGCTAAGCTGAAATTTTAAAAAGTGAATCCTTCAGAAAGTTAAATATCCTATTCGGCCATTCATTCAACAATACTACCAAGTCCTGGAGCGTGCTTGCGGTTGACAATCAGGGGCATTCTTGGCTTGTGGCACTGCTCAAGCAAAGGTTGGAGTTGGGCAGGGAGGACCCAGTAAGTAACTAACTGCAACAGGAGAGTCCTTTTCTCTTTCCTAGGTCATGCACCAGGGTGTGGTCTAGGCCTTCAGAGGCTCTGGGTATTCCTGGGACCATGGGGAGTCACGGAGGATTAGGGAGAGGGTAACTCCATCCCTGAGAGGCACATTTTTCCTAATGGCTGCCTGCGTTCTTTGGTCCTGCTGTCCGGCCACCCAATAGCTCAGACTATGCCTACACAGCGTCCTCACCTCCGGCCTCCTCATTGGCTACTCATGCCTCCCTTCACACCACCTACACCGCCCCCGTCGGCTCTGCTGTTTTCGCGTCTTGCCTCCAAGCCCTCCCTCCGTCCCCGAGGCACTTTCTAGCCTCGGCATTGGTTCATCCCATACTGCTCTTTATGGTCTCGCCGCCTTCACCCTGGCTCCCTCATTGGCTATCCGCCATCTCTCGTCCTCGCTCCCGCCTTCAGCCTCCACCTCCATTGGCTCGACCCCCTATGGTCCCACCTCCGTGGCCGCTGACACACCCGCCTGTTGGTCTCCTTTTAGCCTTCCTATTGGCTAGCTCCGCCTTGGCACCGCCCTCAAAGCCGTAGTGCACGCTCACAAGCCTTCCCATTGGCTTGCTGCAGCTATAGCGTCACCCCGCGCGCGGCTCTCCATTGGCTGTTCTCTGTCTCTAGCTTCTGTTCCACCGCCTACGCAACCCGCGGGATCTCCCACTTTGTGGGCCTCTGCGTTCGTTCCCGGCTGCCCTCATCGCTTGTAGCCATTTCACTTTTCCCACCGCCCACATGTCGCTCTCGCTCAGACTTCCGCATTAGCTGTCTCCTTCTGCTTTCTTCATCCTGGATTCCGCACCACCCCCATTCCGGCCTCTCCATTGATTCCTCGATCATCCCGCCCCCCTACACCGCCCACTCCCGGGCATTCCCATTGGCTGTGTGCTTCTCCGGCTCTCAATTCGCTGCTACGTCATCCGCGTATGGCTCCCCATTGGCCCTCTGCTATACCTGTCTTCATCTCACCGCCTACGCCTCCGTGAGCCGTACCCCTCCGCGCTGGCCTTCCCATTGGCTGCCCGCCCCTTCAGGCCCTGCCCCCGCCGGTCCC